TTGCCCCTCTTGATCCTTCAGCTTTTACTGAACATGACAGATATGGGCTGGAACACCCCATTGGTGAATTTTAGGGTCACTGATCTTGTCTGCTCCTCCCCGCAGGTGCGGCTTTACTTTCTGCCCCCCTCTGTGTGGTACACAAGCTTAGCAGTGACCTTGGTCTGCACACCAGTCCCTGGCAGTAACTCTGAACATGGAGTGTTATCACTGCTGAAAGCAGACAGTCTGCAAAAACATGCTGCTAACTTCAGACAGGGCAGTTAATTAGAAGAGCTTTAGCTGAAAAGTAAAATCATTGAACAGAACCAGCTCTGTTCTACCCTAAACCAGGGCAATTGCAGTAGGAAGTACTTGAGTATTTGTTGTGATTCTGTTTGGGAGTACTTTTTGTACAGTAGAACAGATTTTTCCAAAACACAAACTTTCCTTGCTTTAACTACTTAACTGCATGCAATTTCCATGAGACTGCACTCCACCTCAAGCTGCCAGGAGTGCAGTTGCAGTCAGTGGTGAATTCTTTAAAATTTAATGCTGCTTCTTTTTCTGTTCAACCCAAGACAAAGTTGTTTGGCACTTGTGAACATTGAGAGGAACTGCTTGCACAGATTGACAGCTATAGTTGAAAATATGCTGTCAGCCAGTGGGTGGGTCTGGTTAGCTAATGTAAAGATCTCAAACTTCGGAAGATAACTTAGTTTACAAATTATTTTAGCTCTCAAACTGGCTTTTCTGGTAATACTGTCAGTGATAGTGACTACAAGCTGGTGTCTGGGCAAGGAGGTGGGCATAAGAATTGAAAGCATGCTGTAGCATGTTTCATGTGTAGCACAGGAATCCTGTTATAGTCACTAGTGGCTTGTAGCCTGAGAACTTCATGTTCATAATGGTGTGGCTTAAGCATATTTAATGATTAGGGGTGAAATACTTAAAAAAGAAGCTGGTAGAAAAGCACAAATGTCAGCTTGCAGTGGTGATGTCTGGCTGAAAGTAGGTACATCATATTTTGTTAACACAGTCTGTGGACATTAAACTTGGCTTCAATGAAGCACATAATGCAGGTTTGAAACAAGATGCCCACAGACCATTTACTTGAATGAGGGATGAGGCCGATTGTACAAACTCATGGGTTTTTTGACCTTCTTAGTATTTGGTTTTGGTTCTTGAGTTTATAAACAGTGGTGTGTGTTTGTTTGTGACAGATTAATGTTCTTCACAAGCCACCGTATGAGCATCCCAAGGATTTGAAGGCTAGTGAAGGTCGACTTCGTATTGGCTATGTGAGCTCTGATTTTGGAAACCATCCAACCTCACACCTAATGCAGTCAATCCCAGGCATGCATAATCCAGACAAATTTGAGGTAAAAATAAAAATGAGATGCTTAAAGTTTTAAATACGACTGTAAGTGGCACTGCTTTGGCCATTTGGTTTTGTTTGTTTTTTCTGCAAGCAGGTAAACTAGGGAAGGACAAATTTCTGTTTCTAGGATTTTGATGTGGACTTTGTTTTTTCATTAGTAGACTTTTTTAAAATGGCTTGAAGAATTCTCCAGCCTTTAGTCATCCTTCTTTACTAATGTGAAGTGTTACTTAGAAGGTAGGTGAATTAGATACTTCCCTTAGAATTCCTGTAGGTAGGATTTGTGGCCAATGGAAAACATTTTTTTAAAGATTGAGCTGCTGTTCTTTGAGTAGATGTGTTTCAGCATCAAGCTACTACTTCCTGGTTGCTTGTGATTTACAGATATGCTTCTGTTTTTTGTTCACTCTTTGTGCCTGGGTGTGGGTGTTTTTTGTTTTTTGGGTTTTTTTTTAACAAAAATTAATTTCAGATTGGTCTGGCTACTGCTTTTTCAAAAGGAAATGATACACCACACTTATTTCAGAATGAGTGTACATGACTCAGCAGCGCTAAAGACAGTCACATCTGTTTTTGTTTGGATTGAAGCTGTAAATAGAACTAATTCTCAGTTATGTTGTTTGCCCCATGTCTGTTTAAATTGCCTCAGATTTGAACTCCTGTTTTGCAAGACATGAGAATTTACTTCCCTTCATAAAGGGTTATAAGGCTTTCCATCTTGCAAAAGCACATCTTGTCTTTTTTCTTGTTCTATTTGTTTGGTCTGGGGCTTTTTTCCCCTACCGTCTTGCTTTTTCCTAGTCTTGAAGTCTTTGTAGTCTGAAATCCTTGTGGCAAAGCTGCATGCTTGAATTGTTACCAGAAGTATGATTATGAAGCAGTTTTTTTATGAAACAATTAAATTGAGTACCTGAGGTGTGGGGAGAGTATACCATTTAACCTTGAGTCGTCTCAACACAAAGGGCAGTCTTTCTTGTTCTGGATGTAAAAAGCTCTACAAACCTTAATTTAAATACTAGATAAAAATTGTTTTATTAAAACTACCTTAATTTAAATACTAGATAAAAATTGTCTGTTTTATTAAAACTATGCTTTTGTCCTGCAAGATAATAAACTAATCTGCATATTGGTTCTATTTGTTCTGTATCTGTATGTGCTAGATTAGCTACAGATGCCTCTTTGACAATTTAAGGTTCACAGGTTATGTATACTTCTGCATGGAGGGAACTCAATTGGAGGAAGCTTGTAACTGTTTAAAGAACCTGTTAAAAACCTTTCTGAAGACTTAAACTTGTCTGTGCAACCTGAGTCATAGTTATGATTCTCACTAATTACAGATTCAAAGGTATCTTGTAAAGGGTTTTTTAGAGGATGTAATGCTCTATGCATATCGGTTTGTTAAAAGGCCTTTACTTTGCACTGATGAGAACGTTGTATGCATGTCTGTGCAAGATGCAGTGCCATACTGCAGCACCAGAACTGGGTCAAACTGGGTAAGGCCTGGTGCAGATATGTCTAATGCTCAGTATCCCCTGTGTGTTTTGTTGTTGTGTTGTTGGGGTTTTTTATCAACTGGTAAGTGGCACATAAATATAATTTAGATGAAACTAGATGTAATTTTGATAAAGCAATTTAAAATTACAATACTATATGTTTTATAGCAAAGTTTTGTTGGAAAGTTGTTGCAGATGCTTGATTTTTGGTGCCTCATATTGTAGGTATTCTGTTACGCCCTGAGTCCTGATGATGGTACAAATTTCCGTGTAAAAGTGATGGCTGAAGCAAATCATTTCATTGACTTATCTCAGGTGAGCTTTTTTGATGCATTGAGCTTTTAGTAAACTTAAGTGAAGAAAGAGATCAACCTGTAGGTTGAGATTTTTAATTGTAGTAATTTCTTGAATAAGGCTGATGTTAGTCTGTAGAATTTTTGAGTTTGTAGAGGTATTGGTGTTATGCCTTACCTGGGATGATTTTTATGTGGTTATTATGTGGCCTGTGTGTGACTATTAAAAAGTAATATTAGCAATACAGAATTACTGTTCCATTAGGTCTTAAGGCATATCTAAATGTCATGGATAAGTCAAGGTGCTACAACTGCAAATATATTTTAAGCTTTCTTTACTCCAGTGAAGTAGGACAGAAGCTTCTTGATTAGTGGGGGGATTTTGCCTCTCTATCAGAGGGCTGTTTTGGTAACATTTGCAGGTGGTTTTGGTGGGGTTTTTTAAGTTCCATATGAAAACTGGTGAAGATTTCAATATGCACAGAAGTCAGGAGGTTGTTATACTCTCTCATGATGACCGGCAAAGCCCTAAATCAACATAGGATAATCAGTGTTCCTTCATAATGGCAGTGGATTGGCACATGGATTGTCATAGAGTAGGTGATATATAAAACTTGGCTGTAGTTTTTAAATCCATGTTATTCAGAACGTACTCGTGTAAGTAAAAATGCTAAATGGATGTCAGCAGAATTGATCTTTGAGGTGGTTTTTGCAAAGTTGATACTTTAAAATGGTCTTTTGGAATAATGAGCTTTAGTGGTGCTTGTGGAAAGCCTCTCGTACCACCCCTGCTTTTGCAGTTGTGGTTTTTGAAAACCCTGAGTCATAGTAAAACACAGCAGCAATTTTGTATTTCTTGTTGCTCTCAACAGCTATCTAGGAAAAATTCTTTGCTGTGGCCAGAGTTGATAAATTCTGGAGGCATCAAACTTCTATTTTTGGGTTACAGTACAGCTCTTAGAGAGTTGTACAGGAGAATCAAACAGGTGGAAAAAGTTTGCTGTGATCTGTTGTGTTAATAGTGGAACTTACTGAGAGTTAAACTAAGAAGAGAGTCAGGTTGTTGTCTACTCAGAGATGCTTGCCTGCATGTGGGCAGTTATAAGACTGCTTTTTTTCTTGAAAGTAATTTGTAGTACCTTGTATGAAGGCTTGCTCTTTGGTTTTCATTTAGCTAAGAACTGAAGCAGTTTTAGTGTTGCTTGAAGTTTCTTCTGTGGTCCATTTGTGATATTTTCCTGTGTTACTTGCCGAGCTCGGCAACACTAGGCATTACTCCTCTAATTTGAATGTGCATAGGCAAACTTCAAGTACCACAGTTAAGATTTTTGTCAGCAAGTGCTTCAACTGTGTCTAGCAAATATGGCTCTTACAGCTTCAACAGCTTTTTCCATTGGTTTGAGGACTTAAACATCTGTAAAACCAACGGTAGTGAGATCCAGTTCTCACCTGAATTAAGTTATGCAGTTGACACTTATCCATTGGTACACTGACTAACCACCTTTATTAGTGAAAGACTGAAAACAAAAATAACTTTTATTTTATGTATTTGTTCTTCAGATACCTTGTAATGGAAAAGCAGCAGACCGTATCCATCAGGATGGGATACACATTCTCATTAATATGAATGGTTACACTAAAGGAGCCCGAAATGAATTATTTGCCCTGAGACCAGCACCCATTCAGGTAACTGAGCAAGAGGGCTCTGTATCTCAGAAAAACCACTTGTGAGTATGAAGAGTTTCTCTTTTCTGGCAGAGTGGAAAAAACATTCAAGACTTATTGATCAGTAAGGAAGAGGTTTGTTTTTTTTTTAGGGCTTAGCATATGTGAAGAAAATAAGATCATTCTGTTGAAGTGGAGTAGTTTGTTTTTTTCAGTGTGCTTTATGGGCAGTTGACTGTGTCCTGAAAGAGAACTCCTTAATTCTGAGATTGAACACAACTGCTTTCTTGCACTGGTGAGAACAAAGAAGGGGTATTTGAAGCAGCTGTGGAAATGAGTTGTTATGCTTTAATTTCTTCACATTTAGTGAAATTCTAAATATAACAAGTCACAATCAGTGTCAGAATATTTGTTGTTTTTTCTTTTTACTAAGGATTTTCTAAAGTGCCTATGGAAAGAGAATGGGAGAAGCCAGAATTAGAATTGCTTTAGGCTACAGAAGTTGTCTTGACTAGCTAAGAGAAGCTGTAATCACTGATGGTTAGTATTCTGGCTATGGCTGCATTTAGTTGGATACTTTGGCCTTTTGCTCGAGGGATCAAGTTCAGAACATCCTTCAACTTTTTCACTGTTTTGGTAGTGAAAGGTTAGGGTTAGTGGTTGCTCTTCAGTTGATGAAAAACAAGAAGAAATTTGATTCTCTAGATACAAAATTTAACTTAAAATACACAGATTTTAAACGTCCTTTGGTTTTGCAGTGCACCTGGGACTGGAGCCTTGCTTTCTTGTTTTTTAGGCGATGTGGCTAGGGTATCCTGGAACCAGTGGGGCTCAGTTCATGGATTATATCATAACAGATAAAGAAACCTCCCCAGTTGATGTGGCTGAGCAGTATTCAGAGAAATTAGCTTACATGCCAAATACTTTCTTTATTGGAGACCATGCAAACATGTTCCCCCACCTGAAGGTACGTAGAAAGATACCGCAAGAATAGTAGGTCTTGTCTGTAGCTGTCTTCATAAAATGGCATTCATTCCAGTACTTGGTAAGGGATCTTGTAACTTATTTAAAATTTCTTTTTTAACAGAAAAAGGCAGTAATTGATTTCAAGTCCAATGGTCATATTTATGATAACAGAATTGTTTTGAATGGCATTGACTTGAAGGCTTTCCTTGACAGCCTCCCTGATGTCAAGATTGTTAAGGTGAGAGCTGTTCCTTTGTGTATTTAGTCTCAGGGACCAAAGCTAGTACTTCCTCTGATGTTTATGTGATCTGCCTTAGATGAAGTGTCCTGACAGTTGTGACAATGCAGATGGTAATGCTGCCCTCAGTATGCCAGTCATTCCTATGAACACAATTGCAGAAGCTGTAATTGAGATGATTAATCGTGGGCAAATTCAGATAACGATCAATGGATTCAACATCAGTAATGGATTGGCAACTACTCAGGTGAGGCAATTCAAGACACTTGTCCTGGGTTTTATGTTGTATCTGTATGGTTTAATGCAACAAGAAAAACCTCCCAGCAAATAACTGTCTTCTGTTATGTTTTTTTTCAAAGAAGATTGTTCTGTGATTCTTTGTTGGTTTGTTTAGTTCTCATACTGAAGGAAACTCACAAGGCAGAGATGTGCTGGAAGATGATCTTTCCCCCTAAAGACAGAGGGACAGATCTCAAGAGGTATCTAAAGTCTGAAGAGATCTAACCTTGTTGCATAACGAAGACACTTGGTTGTTCAGAATTTGAAGACGAGATTTGTCCATTACCTGCAGCCTACAGGGCATTTTTGAGCTGATACTCAATTTCAGTTGTGTTTTTCTTTTAGAAAAAAATTGACTGGACAATACAGACAGTGTTATACCCCACTGTGTCTCAGCTATGTTTATTCACCTCTTTTTGAACTGTGAACTATACCACCACCTCTCAGTGCTTAACAGTTCATGGGATTTTAGTGATACTGGCAATTATTGGTCTTGTTTAATACTTCTTCTTTTGCAGAGCAGTTCTTCTTTTTAAAAATACCGTATGTTGACGTTGGCATAACTCTCTTGACTTGTGAATTTTAGTCAGGTTGCAGTCCTTCATGAGACACTTATACATCATTTTGAGACCTTTTATTATCACTGCTCTATCCATAATCACATGCCTTGATTTCTTTTTTATGAGTCTTTTTTGTTCACAACTGAGACTTAATTGGTAATAAATAATGTCTTAGTAGGTTTACCAGCATTTATTTCTGAAATTGTTGTCCCCTTAGAGTAATAGAGAATTCACTCTACCACCAAATGAAATAGTCTTAAGCTCTATCAGTGCACTTTTAAAACAGGTTCTGTATATCTTGATCACATTAACTCTTCTTTGTGCTTATTCTAGTTTGATATTAGCTATTTTGGGGCATAGGTTGATGAGAACTGTGCATTGTGGTTTTCAGGTCACCTTGGTGACCTGGATAAGTAGCACTTCTACCAACTTCTGTTGAACTAAATGATCTCATTTATCTTGTAATGGAGTTAGTGACAGCAAGTCACTGTCATTCATACCAAATTTGTCAAAAGTATGCTTATTTTGGCTGGTGCAGTGCTACTGAGATAAATTTTAAATATATATAAAATATGTATAAAAAATGACTTCTAAGTACCTGTTTTTCCCTTGTCTATACTTATGGTTTTATTTGTCTTTGCTCCCACCATTGCCTGTCATTATTAAAAAACAAACAAAAAACCCTTCGTATGTTTGTTCTACTAATCCTCAAGACTCTTGCATGATATTCTGATTATACAAATTCTTCTTTTGCTGGTTTATTATTAGCATATGCCTGCTCTTTGTGAAGGCTGTTAAGATCCATTGTCTTTTTGATAGTCCGTTAATAATTGTTGTCTAATTTTCAGCATTTCCCGTTATTTCCTTGTTGCCTAGTTCCTTACAGTCCTATCAGTTACATGTCTGTATCTTCAGTTCCTTTGCCAAGTACTTTTTTATTCTTCCCTGCAGTCTTAGTTTCATTTCTGGTCTTAAGGAAATGAAGTGACTTCAAGAAGGGGAGGAGTCCATGTGTAATGCTTCTTTATATGATTCTTCTTTCCAATTATTCCAGTTACTTGGAATTTCAGGGAGATACAGCAAGGGCATGAAAATGTCCAGTGTTTTGTGTCTTGGTGGTTGCAACATTGTGGCACCCACAAGCCTAAACACACACCACTTAAATTCTTTTTATGGGTAAGTAGGCTATTCTGTTTTGTGTGATAAAGCCAAAGATACACTTGGAGTAACTTAAGATGCTAAAAAGTGTTGCAGTGTGTTTCAGGACAGTTCCACAGGGCATAGTCTTGTTTCCTGCAATTTGAGTATTCACATAGCTATTTTTTTGTTTGTTTTACTTTAGATTAACAACAAAGCAGCAACTGGTGAGGAAGTTCCACGAACTATAATTGTTACTACTCGGTCTCAGTATGGCTTACCAGAGGACGCTGTTGTATACTGTAACTTTAATCAGCTGTATAAGATTGATCCTTCCACTTTACAGATGTGGGCTAACGTGAGTATCTGTATCTAATCTGAAATCTAAGGTCAGATTTTTGTAACATAGCAACATTACAGTTGGTGACTGTCTTGGGCTTAGTGATCAAATAAATAATAGAGTTTTCTATTCTTAAAGAAGCAAGGAGCAGGGGTTAGTAGAACTTGCCACCTTGGACTTCCATAGGACAGACTTTGGCCTCTTCAAGAGACTGATTGGCAGTGTCTCTTGGGAGGCTGTCCTGAAGGGCAAAGGAGTCCAGGAAGGCTGGAGAGACTTCAAGAGGGGATTCTTAAAGGCACAGGAATAGACCATCCCCATGTCCTGAAAGAGGGGCAGGTGGGGAAGAAGACTGGCCTGGATGGAATAGGTTTGATAGCTTTGAATAGCTGGATGAATAGCCTGGATGAACTTCTAGCTTTGTCTAGAAGTTAGGAATGAAAGGAGAGTCTATAGCCTTTGTAAAAGGAGGCGGGCCACTCAGGAGGGGTACAAGGATGTGGTGAGAACATGTAGGGAGAAATTTAGAAGGGCCAAAGCCCAGCTAGTGCTTAATCTGGCTATTGACATATTGTAAAGGACAACAATAAATGGTTCTATAAATATGTTAACAATAAAAGGAGGATTAGGGAGAAAGTTTGTCCTTTGTGGATTCAAGGGAAAAAGGAAAAGGCTGAGGTACTGAATGCCTTCTTTTCCTCAGGCTTTAATAGCAGGACTAGCTGCTTGCTGTGTAGCCAACCCCTTGAGCTGGAAGGCAGGGATGGGGATGTGGCCTCCATAATACAAGAGGAAATAGTTAATGATCTTCTTTATAACTTGGACATTACACAGATCTGTGGGACCAGATGGGTTACATCGAAGGGTGCTAAAGGAGTTGGCTGATGACCTTACTAAGCCACTTCTCATGATTTACTGGAAGTCCTGGCTAGCTGGGGAGGTCCCTGTGGACTGGAGACGGGCTAATGTGATGCCTATCTACAAGAAGGGCAGGAAGGAGGATCCTGGGAACTACAGACCTGTCAGCCTGACCTTGGTGCCAGGAAAAGTCATGGAGCAGATCATCTTAAGTGCCATAATACAACATTTACAGGGTAGTCAGGCCAAGTCAGTACAGGTTTATGAAGGGCAGGTCCTGCTTAACAAACCTCATCTCCTTTTACAACAAGGTGACCCACTTGGTGGATGAGGGAAAGGCTGTGGATGTTGTTTATCTCATCTTCAGTAAAGCCTTTGATACTGTGCCCCACAGCGTTCTCATCACAAAACTGGTGGTCCTAGGCCTAGATGAGTGTACACTCTGCTGGATTGGCTGGATGGCCAAGCCCAGAGAGTGGTGGTGAATGGAGTTAAATCTGTTTGGCAGCTGGTCACAAGCAGTGTTCCCCAGAGCTCAGTGCTGGGGCTACTCCTCTTTAACATCTTCATCAATGATGTTGATGGGAAGATTGAGAGCACCCTCAGTAAGCTTGCAGATGACACCAGGTTAGGTGGGTGTGTTGATCTGCTTGAGGGTAGGGAGGGCCTTCAGAGGGACCTGGGCATGCTGGACAGATGAGCAGTGGTCAATTGTATGTGCTTTAACAAGGCAAAGTGCTGAGTCCTGCACTTGGGCTGCAGCAGCCCCATGCAAAGAGACAGACTTGAGGAGGAGCGACAGGGAAGTTGCTCTTTGGAAAGGGACCTGTGGGTGTTGATTGACAGCTGGCTGAACATGAGCCAGCAGTGTGCCCAGGTGGCGAAAAAGGCCCGTGGGACCCCGGCTTGTACTGGGAATAGTGTAGTCAGCGGGACTAGGGCAGTGATCGTCCCACTGTACTTGGCACTGGTGAGACCACATCTTGAGTACTGGCTTCAGTTTTGGGCACCACAGGACAAGAAGGACATGGAGGTGCTGGTAGGGTGCAGAGAAAGGCAACAAAGCTGGTGAAGGGACTTGAAGATAAACCTTATGAAGAGCAGCTGAGGGAACTGGGGTTGTTTATCCTGGAGAAGAGGAGGATAAGGCGTGACCTTATCGCTCTCTACAGCTGCCTGAAAGGAGGCTGTAGGGAGGCAGGTGTGGGCCTCCTACATGGCACAACTGACAGGACAAGAGGAAATGGTGTTAAGTTACACCAGGGGAGGTTTAGGTTAGATGTTAGGAAAAACTTCTACACTGAAAGGGCTATCAAGGATTGGAATAGGGTTCCCCAAGAAGTTGAATCACCATCCCTGGATGTATTTAAAAGCTGTCTAATTAGGGTGCTCAGGGATGTGGTGTAGAAGTGGCCTGGTAGAGATAGATATTGGTTGGACTCCACCTTGAAGGTCCTTCCCAACCCTAACAATTCTGTGATGCACAGTTTCTGCCAACTTGAGCAGAACAGGTAAGTTAAAACTGTAACTGTTTTTGTGGAAAACATTGACCCTGAGCCATTTGAATCCTTACAGTACTCTTGTTGCACGACTTGGTGGTAATAGAATATAGACTTTTTTTAGAGTGACTTCAAATCGCACCTGTCCTTCTAGCCAGTGAAAAATTACTTTTCAGGCAGCATAAGTATGCTGGTACTCTGTTGTGAAGTAAGTTTGTTCTTCCCCAGTCTGCACAATTGAGTTGTAGCAGTCCTTGTCACTTGGTAGATTGGTAGATCTGAGCACTGAGTGTCTATATCAAGGTCCAACTTAATAGTGTATTGCTCTGAGTTACTTGGGGTAATTTTTGTACATTCCTTAGCATTGGCCTATAAATAAATGCGATAAATTTTAGGACTTTCTCTATGAACTATTGCTCAGAGTTGCTGTCTCTTTCCATGGAATTAGAAATGCAATCCTAATTATTCCACTCAAAATGGTAGTCTCTTTTTTTCCTGATCTGTACCTCCAAAGATTAAAGTGTTGAATGATTATGCATTTTGCTTCATTTTGGCATGTGGTGATTTGTTCAGAAAAGGAAATGTTTCTAACCAAAGTTCCTGTTTGCCTTTTTTTTTTTTCTCTTACAGATCCTAAAAAGAGTTCCAAACAGTGTGCTGTGGTTGCTACGTTTCCCAGCTGTAGGAGAACCAAATATCCAGCAATATGCACAAAACTTGGGTCTTTCCCAGAACCGAATCATCTTTTCTCCTGTTGCCCCGAAAGAAGAACATGTGAGGAGAGGGCAGTTGGCTGATGTTTGTCTAGACACTCCGCTTTGCAACGGGCACACGACTGGCATGGATGTACTCTGGGCTGGGACTCCAATGGTCACTATGCCAGGTAATGCGCTGGGGAACCTACATAGAACAGATGGGGTTTAATATTGATAGTTTTTTTAACAAAAAAGAGCAAGCCCAGAAAACCTTGTTGCCTCTTACCAAGGCTGAAGTGAAGTAACGCATAGTCTGCAATATGTTTCTTACTCCTGTTACCAATGTGTGTGGGTTTGGTTGTTTGGGGTTTTATAATTATTTTTAATTTTTTTTTTTTCCAGGCGAGACTCTTGCGTCACGAGTTGCTGCCTCCCAGCTTACTTGCCTGGGGTGTCTTGAGCTTATTGCAAAAAGTAGACAGGAATATGAGGATATTGCTGTGAAACTGGGAACTGATCTGGAATAGTAAGCAAACATGTACTGTATAATGTGGTAACATCAAGAATGTGAAGTGCTGTATCTGGACACAATGCTGAGACTTCATAGTAGTGTTAATAGATACTTTAATATTTAAAATAGCTATGCAATCCTTGTCTAGAAGTTTCTTGTCTTGCAGTTGTCTCAGCTTCTGCTTTTACAGTAAACTTAACAGCGTTCCCAACTGAGCAACAGTGCTACCTGTTATGAAGAAATTGGTCGTGTGCAGGCTCTTAGATGGTAAAAAGGGCAATATAGTTCACCTTTTGCACTTTTTAAATTGAAGATGAAGCAGTCTGTTGCTGCAAGTTAAGATCATGCTGTAAAACGTTAGTGCAGTACAGGTAATGCAGCAAGTTCATGTGTTAATATTACAGCCCTTCTGAGTTGTACTGGTCGTGCTGGTCTGTATCAGAAACTATGAGGGGATGAGACAACAATTGGTGTAAGGTGGGGAAGCAGATATTTTTGAAATAGTTGTACTTCACAGTTCTGTGTTAGCTGAAAATAGTGGATTTTGAAAGCAAATGGTATTACGCAGTGTGTGGAGCCTCTCGTGACTGTTTTAACTCTTTTTGCAGCCTGAAAAAAATACGTGGCAAAGTCTGGAAGCAGAGAATATCCAGTCCTTTGTTCAACACGAAACAGTACACAATGGACCTGGAGCGGCTTTACCTTCAGATGTGGGATCACTATGCTGCTGGCAACAAACCAGACCACATGATTAAGCCAGCAGAGGCCAGTGAGTCTGCATGAAGAGAGACTGTGTGCCCACCCAGAACTCTCTAGCAACTGAGCCTTTCAAACACTTCTGCAGAGATGACGAGCTAAAACCTGTGCATTTCTACTTAATCTGCCTGGTACTCAGTGGCTGAAGTAATACATGATGGTGATTAAAGCACAGCCAGACTGAAAGACTCAATAGAGCCCGAGATCCTTTTATTCCATGAGGAATTTGAATGGGATTGAGCCGTGTACATGTGCGCCTGTGTGTGTGAGTGACGTAGTGGTTACTGGGGGAAGTTCGAACTGCCCAACCAATTATGATTTCATGGATTGATTTAATCTTCCTGGGAATTATCTCCTTTTATGTGGATTGGGAATTGGAGCATTTTAACATTTGATTTTGGTTACTGCTGTTGGTTTATGTGTGGTTCTCCCATGACAAGATATTCAGCTAGCGAGTGTTGCTCCCTGCATTGATTTCTAAACTTTGTGGACTGAAAGGGCATATTTGCTGGTGTAGTCTTTTTTTATAGGTTTTATAAACCACTTGAGCCTATATCAGCCTTTTAATGTTTGACTTCTGTTTTGGAGCTCCCTGTAATGTGTTGGTTAAGATAAGGACTTTGGGGTTTTTGTTTTGTTTTTTAAGCTTCTCCAGTAACTCAGCTAATTGGCTTCATGATGGCAGCTCCTGTTCTTTTGGGGAAAAAAAAAAATGATTTGACATTAATCCTGCCCACAAGTGTTTGAGGTAAACACAAACTGGTGCCAAATACAGATCTTTCAGAAATGATTGTTAATTATGTATAGAGGCACAGTCCTAGGTACTGTAGCAAAGACTTTAAAAAATAAAGCTTTGGTTTGCCAGTTTGACTGATATGACTAGCGTTTCACGTTTTCTGCTGGTCTTGTTCTGCTGTTGCAGAAGTATTCTGAACTGCTGGCCTTTCATATTCCTATCTGTAATTCAGTTTGAAATAACACCATTTTTTTTCTGCAGAAATAATCCTAGGTAAGCATAGATTTTGTACATAGACATTTCTGTTTCCACGAGGTTAGACTAAATCCATCCAAATACGAAAACTCTGGGGTGTGTGCATGCTCAATCCAGAAGTGTTTTGGGGCCTCATGGTAGTTTGTTTTTTCTGTCTTTCATGGTACTATCATCTCAGGTCACACTGTAGTGCCTCAAAGGTCATGGCCTATGTGTCAATTAATATTTTTGTTTTGAATAAGCAATAATAGCATTCCCCAACTTTAAAAGGTCTGTGCTGGGTCACGGACTGCCATTTGGAATGAGTGGCAGCCTTGCTAATGGTGCGGGGGTGCGTTGCTGGTGTTGCAGGTGAGTTTATCTCCTGGTCATGGCTAGCTGGAGACTCCAGTTCGTTCCAGGTCCTGCTGCTTGGTGCCCGCAGGCTCCTCTATCCCTGCTGGCACTGGGTGTGCCCTGACTGGTGAGCACAGTCCCGTTCCTGGTGGGAGACCAGCGCTGCCTCCACACACCCACCAGAGAGGAATCCTGGCTCTACTCTCGCACCCCCTCCTGCCAGCGCAGCCGTCTGGTATCCC